TTATTGATTGTTCTGCAGATACACTTTTTACATGCAAAATTATTTAGTAACAATAATACGAAGTGGACTATTTTATGCTACACATCGAGTCCTAACTACCAAAAAGATGTAAGTCACATTTTTTTTTTGATCTTTTTGTTTCTTTTTTTTTATGCAGAAATGTTCCTAGAGCGTCTAGATGCATTTCTGCATCAGCAATTAAATTTAAAAAAATCGTTTACGTCTCGCTGGTGGCTAGGGCTCGATATGTTTCAATCTAAATTTGAATAGCTAGTTTTTCCTGCCCGTTACCATACTATTTAATAAAAAAGTCATTATTCTTTTAATAGTCAACAACAGATTGCTTTCATTTTGCGACACCTATGTAGCTTTCTTGGAAATAATGTGTCTCTTGTTCAATAGTTTAACTATCAAAGATTATTTCTTCCACGATCATTAAAACTATTTTTTGCATTTCATTTCAACTCATGACTGAGAAAATTCGTTCAGCATTTAGTAATTACTTTTGATTTTTAATGATTTTTAGGAACTCACGAAAAGCAAATTAACTTCCAAATGCAAAGTCTCATTAATTCAGCCTTAACCAAATCTTGCTAAAACGCTCAAATTAAATAAGAAAAAAATGTTGTAATTTTTCACTTCTAAATGTCTGGTATTAACCAGTATTGGTTTACTCAAATTCTTGTTGCTTACAGTGCAAATGCAACGAATTTGGTTGAGAGTTTCTCTTAAAAAAAACATCAGAATGTGTAAACAAATGTATGTAGTACATAGTATATCTCTACTTGTTTTAAGTAAAATGAAACCAAAATTGTATGCCTTCGTCCAGAATTCATTGGAACTTTATTGAGTTGTTTTTATTGGGGGATTTTCATTTCTTTAATGTACATTGCGTATTGCTGTGCTATGCAATTCTGCGGGTTGGTGGTGGTAATGGCGGCAATGACGGTGTGTACGAACTCTTTGTTTTTGAAATTATACATTTGGGAATAAATATTAGCTTTTCTTGCTATGCGGAATTCAGAGATTTCCATGTACGTATTTCAATTTGTTTATGCACGTATGTAGGCGAGTGCACAGTGTTTTTGGAATACAGTGCGTCTGAGTGACTGCAGTGATTTCTGTGAAATTAAAACCCAGGGCAGTGGCTTGTGTTCACTTTAAATTCATGTGGGGCTATTAACGAGGTTTTTTCAGTCCTATCGTACTATTAAAAATTTGTAAGTTTGTGTTTGCTCTTTCACACTAAAACGACTGGACGTATTTTAATGAAATTTGGCGCACAGATATCTCTTGACTTGATATAGGATTTTTTTTCAAGTAGAGCTGCCACCTTTGTCAAAAGTTAAAATCAATTGTGGGTCTCTAACGAAAAGGTTTAATACTATTTTTTCGAAACGTTGCTCTAAGAGGGTTGCCAGCTGTTCAAAAAGTTAAAACAAATTCAAATAACAAGTTAAACGAAGTATTTTAATAAGGGTATCAGCTGCCAGCTGTTTAAAAATCCAAAATCAATTTAAGTAACAAATTAAATAAAATATTTTAATATGGGTATCAAACGAGGGAGGTGTAAGGAAAGCTGTATATATTTCAAAAATAATTTTGACGAGGATTGCCACCAGTTTGAACTTTCAAAGTCAATTTAGTTTACGAGTTAAATGAAGTATTTTGATATGGTTGTCAAATGAGAGACGTTTCAAGATGCTTTATTTTAAGAATATTTCTTAAAGGGTTGCCACCTTTTCAAAAAGATATAATCTATTTCACTAACACGTTAAACAAAATATTTTAATTTAAGTATCGAACCAAAGAGTTTTAAGAAAGCTTTATTTCAAAAACAAAAACAGGAGGTGCTGCCATCCGTTTAGAAATCCAAATTCAATTTAATAATATATTTGGATATGGGTATTATCAAACGAGAAAATTTTAAGGAAAGCTGTATCTACTTTGACTAATTTGACTATTTTACTAATGCTATACATTTCAGAGTTTGTGAGTGTGTGTTTATGTTCGTTACTCTTTCTGTGTATAATATTTGGCATACGAATATCTTATGACCGGGATTAACTCAGTAAACGCGAAAGCAAAAGAGGAAATTTAGAGGAACCAAATTTTGGAGGATACTAAAAGTTAGGATATGTACAAAAAAACCATAATAAAAAGTTTCGACCTCTGTAAAGGGATGCCTGTACGAGCTGAAACATATATGTAACACTCTTGAATCTTTGTTATGTAATAAAACAACATAACAACACTATTAGTCTGTGAAACTCGAGCGTAACATATATGTAACACTAGCGTTTAAAGAATTAACATAGAGCATATTTTTAGAAAAAGGTTGCCACCTGCCAAAAAGTTAAACTATAAATTCATTATTATTTTACAATAAGAAGTCCAAACGAACGAGTTTAAAAATACAATAATACAATATTTTTAAGAGGATTGCCACCTTTTTGAAAAGCTAACTTAAATTTTATTCACATTTTAACGAGTAAGCTGTATGAAAGCTTTATTTTGAAAATATTATGAAGAGAGCTGCCACCTGTTTTAAAGTCAAGTTCCATTTTTCTATAAATAAACTATTACAATGTGGATGTCAATCGAAAGAGGTGTAGGAAAGCTTTATTTTGAAAATGTTTTCAAAGAGGGTTGCCAACTGTTTAAAAGCAATCAATTTCAAACATTTACTTCAATGACCTTTTACAAATGAAATTGAAAAAAAAATCGAAAAATATTTTTATAAGAGTTGCCAGTTATTTAAATATTAAAGTTAATTTAGGAAAAATTCACAATATGGATGTCAAACGAAAGAGTTTTAATAGAGCTTTATTAAGAAGCAGAATGTGTCATCTGTTTAAAAAATCAAATTAAACTGGTGTGAACATTTTAAAAATAAATTATATTTTGCCTGACGGCAAAGATTTTCCACCGTTTCCAAATTTCAATATATTTATTCTGTTTCAGCTAATTGAAATACGTATTCCAACGAGATATTGATATGAAAATGAATTTAAAAAATGTATACATATAGTATAAATATCTGCTACCAAATGCAAGTTTAATTTTATATTGAAATGGCCAATTTAGTTAAAATTCGACACATTGACCATGTATTTTTTTTTTTTACTTTTTTTGTTACATTTTGAAGTCATAACATCACCATATTTTTAAATCATAATGTCACCAGGTAGAGTCGTGGGCAAAAGCTAGTGTACTTCGGTATACCAAAAAAATTTTTAAGAAAAAAATTTAACATTTTGTTGACCATAAAGCTTAGTTTGTGAAGTTTCCCTAGAAACCAACCTTTTCGGAAATTAATCTCCTATATTAACTTTAAATACTTTGTACCATCACAATTACCCACACTCATTCACTTGCTGCCCTCCCCTTCAACGGAAATTGATAAATCTTTTTGTTATTAACATGCCTTTAAGCTGACAGTTATCAACGCGTGCAATGATAAGCATTAATTAATTTTCCACTTACTGCTTCGTTTAAGATTTCATTAATCATTCCTACACACATAAGCCCATACAATACAAAATTGCATAAACAAACAAACACACGTAAATGAACAACAAATGCTATAAATAACTTAACACACATGTACAAAGGTTTTTAAACACTTTAAATTAAAATGTGCATGGCAAATGTGCAAAACTTGAGCGTATAATTAAGTAGGTATGTATATAATGGCGTGCAGTGCACGAAGGCCGCGTAGGAAGAGTGGATGGCAAGCGATGGGTTGGCAACTTAAGGTGTTTAAGTGTTGGAGCGTATTAAATTGCGAAAATGACTATTAATGACTGCGCCTTTCACCTATGTATATTTACTCATCTGCAACCGTTTGAGTAACTTTGTTGCAAGTGCATTTTCGCTGCTAGCAGATAATTTATTTTTCACGCTCACCACAAAAGCACCCACCTTCTGTTGATAAATATTGCGCTCTATCCCCCATTTTCACTTCAGTTCATCATGCAGTTTAGCACTACAATATATACATACATACATACATGCAAAATAAGAACTCACTGAGAACTCAGCTACGTCCTTCGCAGTTTTTACGTAATTATTGATCTGTTGGCGATTAATCACACAAGCGTTCAAAGTAGCACAGCCTTTTGAAGCAACGCAAAAATGAAATTAAAATTATGAAATCTTGTATGATCGGATTAATGAAAATGGGCGCCATTTAAATTTAATCACGAAAAGTTTTAACTTTTATTTTTATTGTAATTTAATTGTTGCAAATCTCAAAGAAAATCCATGTTTTTACTCTTTATAAAACCCAGATAACACAAAGAGTTTTATAATCGTATATTTACGCAAAACTGTAGAGAAAATACTCTACTATTTTCTATAAATTAGTATATAAAACCTTCATAAGATCAAAAGAGCCAAGAAGAAGGTCTTCGTAGTCCTAAATTTTGCTCTATTACACTGTAGGGAAAATTAAACCACCAAGACTAGAATGTGTTTTTGGATTTGTTTATGTGAAGTTAGGAGAGCGCGTATGAAAGGTTCCATACCTTCACTCGGAGACACAGCTGTCCACTGTGAATATGCCCTGTGAGTGAACGCCAGGACGTGGTGAATTCCCCTAACCAGCACTCAAGTTACAAAGAGAAAAAAATAATAATAATTCACGCATTTTCCTGCTGAATTATTTCATTTTCCAAATTAACTTGAAGAGGTCAAGAAGCGTGATCGCAGATGCTTCAGCCACCCCGACTGCCGGCCCGTACATCAGCACAGTAAATTTAATTCCATCTCATTCTAAGAGCAATGTATCCTATGAAGACCCCGCAAAGAGTGGCGTTGAGATAGCCCAGTGTTGCTAACGCACCACGACATTTCCGTACAGATCGTACTTTCAGTCCATTTGGTTTTATTTCTTTTAAAATAGTGGCGACGAAAATAGTGGCTTCTGCGATTGCATTTGAAAATGGAACTATTCTGTTAAAACTAGGAGACAGCTCCATTACAAATTATGTGACCAGGGCACCGGTTGTCAAGTCATAGATTATGCTGACGACATAGCAATCGCAGCAACGGGCAAACATCTGCAAGTCCTGAGTGAATTATTGCAAAATGCACTCAGTCTTGTAAACGTCTGGTTCAAGGAATGTGGACTTAGCGTCAATCCTACCAAGCCCGAGAGGTACTTTTCAAAAGTAATTATGAAACTTTTCTATTAAAGCCTCTCACCCTGAACGTGATGGCACTTACTCTCTCAACCGAGGTTAAATATCTTGGAGTTAGTCTACTCAGACTAAAGGCTAAACTCATCGAGGAGTTAAATACCAGGTGGGCTGTGGATACCACCTGCCATACTATCAGGCAAATTTAGTCAAATATTGATGTAAGGCGCTTCATAGCTCTCACTCTGCTGAACCGTGCCTCAGATTACTAGTCGAGGTAATCACCGGACACTGCAGTTGCAGAGACTAGGAAGAGGTGGAGAGCATCGAACATTATCTTTGCCATTGTCCCGCCGCGGCCAACATGCGAAACCAATTCTTCAACAAGTACTTTCTAGATTGTTATCCAACTTGAACTCGGCGAACGTCCTCGACATTTTGTGCTACACAAAACGCACTTGGTAGTTCAATTACTACAGGAGTGAAGCAAGGGGCTTCGGCCAGTGATATCACAACGGGCTTTTCCAGCCTACGTGTGCTCCGTGCTCTGCGCGATGGCGGCCACTCTAGCCTGACTTAACCATAGTACACTCGATTTCTCTGAGATATCAAATTTCATCACACAAAGCTCAGAGATCTTATGTTTCTTTAGCAGATAACAGTTAAATTGTTTTCAACTATCAAGTATTTAAGGTCGAATACTAAGTGAATATTACTCATTAAGTACCAAACTTTATTATTTTGCTTAAAAGTACTCCTCTCGATTGAGTTAGATTATATTTTTGGACATTTGAGAAGTCAAACGCCTTCACTAGGAGGCCATCCACTGATTATAAATACGTAAATATATATAAATACGTGTATATACATATCTTTGTAGTCTAAATTACTTAAACTTTTATTTAAAAAAAGTTTAAACCGAACTCTTTAATAGGCGGCATATACGGTGCGTCTGACTCGCGAGTCATTTGTGTACGTTTTGACTCGCCTTCGACTACACACAGCCGAATTCGCAGTCTACCGGGAGTCATGTTGGTGTAACTAACACATATTTATTTTCACAAACACATCCAAACCGACTCACGAGCCAAACGCACGGTGTATGCCGCCTATAAAAACCTTTAATATTGACATTATAATGTATGTATTTTTAATTCTAATCTTTTAGGAATAATAGATGCGCCCACAAAGACGAATTCGGCACACAGCGTGTCTACAAGAAGACCTCACCAAATTGTGTGCTTACCCTGTATTTACCATCACGTGAGATTACACTCTCCGGCAATAATCCAGCTATACTACGTGGAATAATCTATGTGGATCCAAAAGCGATACAAGGTTACCGAGTTTATGCACAGTTAACTTTGACATTTCGGTGAGTATTGACTAAAATATGCTAAGTGAACATAATGCATGTACAAATATAAGTAAGCAATTCAAAAATATGTAAAACCTTTATGCTTTCAGCTAGAAACTTAAAATTCCAGTTTATTTTTTGGCTTTGATTAATTCCAGAGACAGCGTGAGAACATGATGGAGCGTATGAACGAATTTTGGTTCAATTTTTGGTTTGGTTTTGTGTCCCTTTTATATTATGGCTGTCTTACCTCCATACCATTTCTTAAAAAAAAAAACGAAAACAAAAACCATTCAAAAAAGAAGAATCATTATTCCGAACTTTGCTCTCATATTTCTAATAGCTGAACAGATTTGAATCGTGAGAAAATATTGTCTCAATTAAGCCCTGATCTATAAATAGAATAAACTAAGTTAATATTTATTTACGGAAATATTCCTTCAAGATGGCGAGATTCACGGAAATACCTAAAAATAGCGTTTAAACACAAAAAAATACTTTAATAAAACATATTTTTAGTGGCCTATTTTTAGGCGGGTTTTGTCATCTCGTCGGAGTAGGACTGATAAGCTCCATTTTCGAATAGCAGCTTTGCCAACTTTAGTTGCACATTTTTCTGGCTTTTCGGGACTATTCCAAATTTTTTCAATTTATTTATTTATTTTTTTTTTTTGAAACCTTCGCGTTTTTCTGAACTTTTGGGGTCGTGCACGTAACAATTTTCGGGATTTCTAAGCAGCCTCTGGGACTTTTTCGGAACTTTTAAGGATTTTTTCAGGATTATCCTTATGTTATTTTTTTAATGTTTTCAGATTTTTTCGGGACATTTCAAGATTGTAAAACATGTTTCCCTCATTTGTTGAGCCTAGCTTCATCTTTTATAACTACTGTAAATCAAGAAATACAGATTAGGCAAATAAAAAACTAATTCTGAGTAGCTTTTCGATAGTTCTATAATTCTTGAGAAGGAAAAAGAAATTACTGCAAAATTACGCCGATAAAAACATTTTTTTTTTTTCAAAAATGTCGAAAAAGTTAAATAAAAAAAATTAAACTTCTGAGTAGCTTTTCAATAGTTCTAAAATTCGTGAGAAAAAAAAGAAATTACTGTGAAATTGCGCTAAAAAGAACATTTTTTTCAAAAAAAATTGACAAAGTTTGCTTTTTGAAAAAAAAAATAAATAAAACTGTTCTGAGTAGCTTTTCAATAGTTCTAGAATTCCTGAAATGTTTCAATTCTTATATTTTTGAATTAAACTTTTCAACTTTTTTGAAAATATGTTTTTTTACAATCTTTTATTTAACTTGCTCTGTATGTATGTAAGTATGTTTGTTAAGAGCAAATCTTGCAATAAATTTTTAACCAACTTTTCTATAACCTAGAGACTTGAAATTTCACAGTTGGCTCAGAACCCGGTGACAATGCAATACGAATGTTGAGTTTATCCGATAGGTGGCGCAGGAGCCGAGATATTTGATATCCTTACAGTCCGATTTGGTTTATATTTAAAACGTATATTAACTACATGAAAAGGAATAACTCCATTAAAAATGTTGTCGATAGGTGGCGCACAGGTCGGTATATTCAGTAAACCAGTATTTATGGTCCAATTTCGTTCATATTTAGAAAGCTCGCTTTAAAAATATTTGTTTTTACTATTAACTTATTACTTTTCAGGAACTCTACATCTATTGAAAAACTACTCAGAAAAGTTTTAATTTTTTGTTTTTTCAAACATTTAACTTTTTCGACTTTTTTGAAAGAAATGCTTTTTTCGATATAATTTTGCCGAACTTTCCTTTTCAGTAACTCTAGAACTATTGAAAAGCTATTCAGATCAGTTTTAATTTTTTATTTTTTCAAACAGTAAGCTTTATCGGCTTTTCTGAAAAAAATTATGTTTTTTTTTCGGTGTAATTTTGCAGAACTATAATAGGCGCACCTTTTTTAGTATAGTAACGTCTATAGACGATAGAAAATATGACTAAATCAGAATCGTGCTGACGCTACTTGAACTACTCGCTTTTAATATTGCTTCTGCTATTTTTCTCTTATAATTTACATACAAACCCTTTTCAGTTTAACGAAATCCTTCATTTAGAATTCATTAAATCAATAAAAAAAATTTCACTTTAAGCTGCATATGAATGCAAACTTGATGCAAATCCAATTTACATGAAATTTTATTTTCCCTCGCTTCTTGATACCAAAATATTTGTGTAGTGAATACATATGTATGGGTATGTTTCCATTTGTGTGTATGCTCATATATTATTAACAGTTTTCTTTTAACCTCCGATCTTCTCCCTCCTCAATCATCTTAATAACATTTTCCATGTATACATATATGTATGTATGTATGCACATCACGTCAAAGTCTTCTTGCCTTGCTGCTGCTCCATCATTCTCAATTAAATAACTCACAAATTGTTTATCTTCTTTCTTTTCAATCAATTTTACAATAGCTATGGTCGCGAGGATGAAGAAGTGATGGGTTTACGTTTCTGCAATGAGGCCATCATGTCGCTGCATCAAGTTTGGCCCAGGAATGAAGAGCCGGCGCTTGAGTCGCTTAGTCCACTGCAGGTGAGTGCGCTACCAAGGTTCACACACATTTTTATGTACTACATATGGGTAAATCCATGTCAAATTGACCAATGTTTGCACACGGCCAGTTTGGATTTGTATGAATTTTAGTCAGAACCTTTCCCTTATCATATAATGAAGCTCTGAAAAAGAAAAAATTAAAAAAAAATATTTTAATTCTTAGTTTCACAATTTCCGGGATTTTGAAAGTTTATTCTTTGGATATCTAAAAACTCTTATAGCTATAAAATCTGTTCTGCTCTCGCCTGATATTTAAATAAAATTAAAATATTCCAAAAAATAACCAAATTTTTTAAACTAAAAAAGCGTTGAAGCAGAAATTTATAAATATTTTTGGCTCAAAATCCTGAAATTTTCAAGGTATTTTTTTACATATGAATTTTTGAACTTCGAGAAAAAATTTTTGTAATTTTTAAATAAGATATGTTAAAAAATTTTATTTAACTTAACTTCATTTTAATTTAGAGTTTGCAAAAAAACAATCTACCTCCAAAATTCTTTAAAACAACCTTTCAAATTTCAGGATATTTAAAAATCATTTGGAAGTATTGTATAAAAAAATTTTGCAAAAAATTTATAAAAATCTTGTTTTTGAAATACTCAAATTTTTTATGATTTTTTTTTTATACCACCGAATATCACCTTTACAACGAGACCAGAGCCATTTTTGGAACCAAATACAATCTCCTTCGAAAAAAATTTAAAATTCGTTTCTTTTATATAGCATAACTTTGACATTTTAATTTTTTCCCCTTAGGCAGAACTTCGTTATTCCAAATTAAAAATGGTGGACTTGACATGGATTGACCCGTATACCTTTCGCTGGTTGTTAAGTAAATTTTTACGTCAATAAGTCTTATGGTTTTCCTTTGTTCTGATTTTTCTTGACCTTCGTGCTGCATAAATTCATATCGAATTCGCATTTAATATGCAGATTTTCAGTTTTTTTTTTCAAATAATTTTGTCACGAATACTGAGTCACTTGTAATTTAGAAGGCAGTCAGAGTGGTAGCATTCTTATTATTCTGTTTTTTATATTAAACAATTTTCATCTAACTACTGCTGACCCACACTTCGTCTTATGGATTTATGTGAACTATGTCAAAATATTTAGTAATTTTAGCGACATAACTCTGGGCGTCCTTAGTACTGGACCTCAGTTCACAGATATTTGCTATGCCGAACATTTTTTTGCTTCTTCACAGTCGAGGGAGCTTCGATATGTAAAACTTTAACAGAACTACGTTCTAATTTTTCTGGGTTGCGATATTTGCGCTGAGAAGATTTGCTTTCGATTGCCGAATTTTTTAGATAATACGCCCTCTACTTTTTTAATCTCTGTGAGATAGAAGGCCTTAATGCTTTCTGGTTACGTGTAGTGAGAAACTGTGCCGAAAGCTTCCGGAAAACCGAATGCTCGTGAACCAGTACTTCAAAAGGCCGTCACGGTTAAGCGCGAGGCGTTAAGTGCTTAAGTGGTGCTGTACGCTCTTCAGGAGTCATCTTAAATCTTTGCTGGCATCAGGTGGCACGTGAGGTTTAGGGGTATCGAGGCTTCCAGAACCTTCATTACTGGAAATAGGAGGGCTCAGGCTGCTGGGACCATCTTTGTTGGCATCTTTTATCCGGATTGTTTATTGCGACCACCCTCCCTAGTTTCTATAAGCTGCGAA